AAACACAAAAGGCAGGAGCTCAGCCTCACACACTCCAACCCTGGGAAGAGGGAAGCTGAGAAGCTTGGGCCGCAGGAGAGGCATGCGCAGGGAGGAAGCCCGACAGCGCCGTCCGGGCCTCCGGGGTGCGCAGCTCCGGCGCTGGGACAGCTCAGCCAACAAGAGGTACCTGAGATCCGAGTGCGCCTGGATCCGCTGGACCTTGATGTCCGAGTCCAGCACGTCCAGCAGCACGGCCAGCTGCCTCACCACGGCGTCCTTCTGCTGCTCTGTCAGCTGCCCGACCCCCACCTGCAGGGTCAGCTCCACCAGGCCACCCCTCCTCGGGTCTGGAAGGAGAGACCCAGGGCTTTCCACCTGGAGGCGGATTTCCACACCCAGCTTCTAGGACGTCCTTCCAGACACCACAGAGGCCGCGATGGGGAGTACTTTCTCTGTTTTATCCCTGTTTGTTGTCTTTTTTTCTTCCCAGCATACCTGAGCCTCTGCGCTAATCTGAGATGTCAGCATCCCCCATGCTTGCCCAGGACCAAAGAGAATCCACCCCCACCCCGTGCCCTGAGCATTGTCCACCCACAGTGGGGGTCAGTGTGGCCACCTTGTGAGCTCTCCCCCACCCGGGCATCCCAGCCCCTCGTCCCTGCATCCACGACACATTAAGTCTTTGTCTCTTGGCAGGAAAACAAAAGTGTGAAGATGATCTCGCTGTCAGCTACAGTGTCCTTAACAAGTTACGGGGCTGGATGATGGAGTGAGGATCACAAGGGCAGGAAGCGGGCCGAGAGCTGACTCCAGCCACAGGAGGCCCCCACCACGGCTGCACCTGTGAAGATCCCCAGGTGCTGGCCAGCTGGACCGTGCCTGGGCAGCTCCTCAGTCTGTGAACCCACCTGGCCGCACCTCCACAGTGGCCGTGTCCATGTCCGACGCCCCCTGGCTGTCGGTGACTCTCAAGCGGAAAGTGTAGACCCCCTCCACCAGATTGGTGAGCTGCAGGGCCACACTGTGGTCAGAGCCATCGATGACATCCTGCGAAGTAACAGGATGCACAGGGCAGCTGTCAACCCCGGGTTTCTGATCCCAAGCCCGAGCACCCTCACCCACGGGATGAGCCAGGTCAGGCTGAGGAGGGGGCAGGCCGGCTGGGCTGGGAGCGTCCCTCGGCTCTCCTCCCCACACGGCTCCAGGGCACAAAGTCCAAGGCAGGATTTCCAGGGCCCAAGCACTTTCCAGGAATTAGCAAATGAGTGATTCTGTCCAAGAGAGGGAAAGACCCTAACCAGGGCGAGGACCCCAGGGGCAAGGCCTGGGTTTCCTGGGTCTTATTTAACATATCTGCCTTATAACACTCTCATCCTGGGCTCCCTCCCAGCACGACATGTTCTCCTCAGACCAAAACCCTGGGAGAAACGTCACTGCTCTGTGGGCCTCGGTGGTCCGAAGGATTAGAACAGACTCTCCAGATTCCCAGCTCTGAACTTGCTGACGGGAAAGGATGCACAAGAAGGCAGGGGCTCGGAGGAGAGGAAGACAAGCCCAGGAGACCCACCACAGCTGGGCAGAGGGCATTCCAGAGGGGCTGGGGAAACGTGGAGCGCTCTCCCTCCCTGTG